GTAATCGGCTAAAATATCTCCCTTCTTCGAGATCGGGCAAATTTCACGCCGTACGTCACGGCGAGAGAGCAGCTGTCGTCGACGACGAGACGACGAGACGACGACAACGACGACGACGATGATGAGGGGCAAGGGGAAAGAGGGGGGGGGGGAGAGGCTTCTGCTTTTGAACGTAAGGGATCCCGAAACTAGAATCGCACGGCCCCGGCCACACAGGCAATCTCTCGAAAATCGACGATGACATCATGGCCGCAGTATTCCGCCCAAAATAAATATACCGTACATCGACATTCCTCTCCGTCCACCCGGAACCCGCGCACCCGCCGCCGCCGCCGCCGCCGCCGTCGCCGATAAATATTATTATCGTATCTTTCGTTTGCTCTCGGATTAAAGCCGGTACTCCTCCCTCTCCCGCCCACCCCTCTCTCCCTTCTCTCTCTTTCTCTCTCTGCCCCTGCCCCTCTCACCTGGTGCACATTCCACCAAAAATTCGTAACGCAGTCGCGCGTGACGTAAGAGCATTCCGGCGCGGGTCCGGACTGGCGTCAGCGACGAAATACCAAAGTACCTCTCTTCGCTCGCGAATGTTCGAATTAGCTACCTGTCGCGATCCTTTAATTATGTATTACCGAAGAAATCTCTCTCGAGTACGAACGTCGACAAGCAACGGCGAAGCGGCGAAGTCACGTACGTACGTTACGGCCGTATCTGCGTACGTAAATATGTACGTAAAATTAGATATAAATATATAAAAATATACAGGGAATCACCGATACGTTAAAAGAAAATGCGATAAAGTGATAAAGATGTAAAACTATGTTCAATTTCGTCTGCCTTGTACATACGTATAATATTTACCTTCGAGGAATTTTCTCGTCAATTGCAAAGCGCGCAAATCACGTGACCGCAAGAAAATGAAAAACTTGTCAGCTTCCATTGCCTCAATCCGGTTGCAAATCTACGCACTCACGGTACGCACATTCTACACGCGGGGGGGGGGGCAGGGAGGGGGGAGGGGACGGAACGCGGTTAATCGCGTGTTAATCTACGCCGTCGCGCTTGTGCACGAGGGTACGGCGAATGACCGGAAGTAACATGATTTCTCACGGATTGACTTCCTGCCGCCCTCGCCGACCCTCGTTGAAATTCCATCAGTTCCTCCCCCTCGCTTCCTCGCTCTCGCACTCCCTCTGTGTCTCTAATCTCGATAGAGGCATGGGAGGTTCATCGACACGGCGGGGATGAGAGAGTCGGAATTAACGGATCAATTCCGCTTTCGCGGGAATTTAAGCAACTTAAGCGAAAAATTTATGACCAATTGTTTTCTGCACTTACCTCGAGTACGTCATGTGCGATGTGCAAATACTCGCGTAGCATGGCCTCCTGAATGGCCCGCCATTCCTGCCTTGGGTCTTCCAGTTGGGTTGTCTCTGCGGATATTAAATCCAATGACGTTTAATGTTTAATAAAAACGGAGATTTTATCTCGCCAATTATTGATACTTAAGACATTCTTAGCGAGTATTTTTCAAAATAAATAACAATATTTTACTCTTCAATATTATTCCAATAACGCACATACGTTTTATTGCATAATTATTATTATTTAATTTAATTCTATACTAATATAATTATGCTAGATGTCAGAAACTTCAAAACAAAGTCTTGAACAAAATTGATATTTAATGTTAATATGATAAAGACAAGTAACTTCAATTTGGTTTTCAAAATCTCAAATAATTAATTGCATTTTTTCTCTAAATATTATTTCGCTCTATAATTTAATTTTTTTAAACGTTACGTTTTAAACGCTACTTCTGTAAACCTGAACGAAGGCATCGATCGCGATCGGATAAGAAAATGCATGGGTAAATCTATGCACGTGCGCACGCGTTATGACACAGATATAAAATTCCGAAATAAAATCGCTTCTCGTATCGCAAGCCAGGTATCCGATCGTTCTTTTCGCGCACTTTTTCGATCAGATATAGAATAAAAACTTACGATTGACATGATTGATGTAGTAGGCACCCACGTGTTTATCGTATGCCTCCTCCCAGCCGAGGGGAAGCTCGTTCCCGATACAATCCGCAAATGTTTGAGGTTTAGTAAACCTGCAACAATAAAAAAAAAGAAAATATAAATATTACAATGTACAAAGTAGTGCTTGTAATTATTGTAATTATTTTTAGTATTTCCGAGTAGAAGAAATATCTAAGAAAAATTAATTGAAAATCAAAAACTGACTGGCTTCGTACTATTACGGATTTATTGAATAACAATTGTCTTAATAATTAAATAAGAAAATTCTATTTAAGTGAGAAAGGCTTATTTTTTTACAAGTTTGTAGTATTTTTGATATATTTTTGTATGACTTTTCTCAATAAGACTATTTCAAAAAAATGCTGTTCAGTTTACTTAGCAATCTTCACATAAGAAAAAATAAAAGAGATTTTACTTATTTTTCCGATAGAGTTAGAAAAATCTATATAGAATCTATATAGAAATCTATATAGAATTTCTCGAAGTCGAATAAATCATGCTGATTGTGCGGTGATTTTTCTCGAATTCATGGATGAAGTTTGCAAATATAAGTTCGCATATGTACTAAATTTATCAATAATCTGTAGCATAAAATTTCGTCTAACCAAACTCCCGACTTGATTAAATAAATACGATATAAAAACGAGAGGATAACGTAGCGTTATATCAATATTACTAGTCATTTCATTATCTCTATAGTTATAAAATCTAGAATGTGATTGGCTACCAAATATTATTTTAATTTTACCATCGAGACATTCATTAATTAATAATTACGAATAATAAATTCACTTGTCGATGAGAATTAAATTTTTATTAATGTCATGAGAAATGAGTAATACAAAAGAAGAGTAAATTAATTATTATCGTTGGTACATTTCTTCGGGACGTATATATCGAACTAACAATGAGTCGTGCGAAAGGAATGAATTGTCAATCGAAAGAATTCTGAAGTCGCATTCACCGACGAGAAAAGAAAGGAATGCCGGGTTTGCCGGATGTGGGACTCGATTTCCGGAAATCTTCGGTCACGTAAAGCACGAGCGTACGTATCGAGCGTGTTTGTATTACACACAAATAGATAATGATTACAATATTTTTATATTCACATACATAATTATTTATATGCATATTATATACATTTACATGCATTATTGTTTACATATATATTCTTGCGAAAATGTTTCTCATATGTCGCATTTTCGACTTTGCTATGCTTGGAATGTTGAATTTTATGTTACACTTATGGTGACCATATTTTCTTCGAGAAGATAAAGGACAAGGAATTTGAATGTTTTAAAGCTTTGTTTTTACACGTTTTCCAAATCAGTTTGGAGATCTGTCAGGATTCTGTGCATTACGAAATTTTTTTTTTTACAATATACCACAATGAGATACTGCAGTTTTCTAATAATTTTAAACTGATTCGACTGTATTGGAACAAATTTTTGATTTAAATTATTTAGAATTTAAAATTCAAAATAAATAAAAAATGAAAATAAATTTGGATAAATTTAATTAAAAAAATTAAAAAATGTAATTAACACGACAGACAAATTATATTTATATATATTTATATTTTATATATTTTATTATAAAAATATATTCATTAGACATTGAAATCCTAATTAGAAAAGGATTTCCCATAAGATAAAGGACCGTCCTTTAGAACGAACGATGCGCGATCATCTCGCAATTATGCTGCAAGGATATAATCAGAATTAAAACAACCATCGATCAATATCATGATGCTGATTTTACGTCACAAAATTGAAAATAAAACATCCGAGCCGAAACAAAAAAAAAAAAAAAAAAAA